GGGCGCGGGGAGCGAGGCGGATAGCGCCGCGGCCCCGGCCCCCGCTTTGCTTTCCAGCTTCTGCTTCCTCGTCCGAGCCGACCGGCGTTGCGGGACGGACCGGGGTTTCCGAGCCCGAAGCCGCCCTGCTTTTCCTCGCCCTTCTCTCTGACCCAAAGCTTTCAACGCGAGGGGCCAGCGCGTGCAAGCAAACGCGGCTCGTGGCTGCCGTTGCTTTGCCCAGCGCTCGCCGGGAAAGTCCTGGGTCGTTCTGCGCAAGGCTTTAGCGCGCTCGCAGACCCCCCTTGTTTACAGCGCGCTCCGTCCAGCAGCTCTTCAGCCCTGGGCGCTTCTGCAAGGGCCCGGCAGGAACACGCTGGCTTTCCCAAAGGAAAACCCTTTTGCTTTTCCAGGAAGAACTGGAGCCCGTTGCCTCTTTCCTTCTTTTCCTCCTCCAGCAGGACGCATCCCTCGTGGGCTCCCAGATTAGCGTTACCTGCAGGGAAGAGCCAGCTCGGTCCCTGTTCCCGCAGCCAGGCCTTGCTCCCTCTCTCGCTCTCTCTCTCTTGCTTTTTTTGGCTGCCTGTTAATGATTTGAGAGCTGGTTAGCACAGCTCACGCTTTAACAGAGAAACAGCCGTGGGCAAACGGTGCTTCTCAGGTAGCTGGATGGTGTCGGGGTCCACGCTCCTTTAAGCGTTGGACCCAAGCTCTCTAACTTCTGAACGGGAAGCATCATTAATCATGCTGTTGGTCTTCACGGCGGGCCCAATTTCTTCCAGAAACCACGCTTGAGGAAGCCGTTTGTTTTCTGGATGTTTTTTTCCCCTTCATGCTGCACCGTGCGTCAAGCTGCTTCCACGTGGAGTGATTTAATCTAGACCTAAACTTTTGCGTTCCCGTCTGGTCATTAAATCTCAGTTGGCCTATTCATAGAATTGCTGGCTTTGCAGCAGGAAAGCACAGGCAGCTTGCGCCATCCCTTTCCATCTACTCCCTGCCCTGTAAGAGGGACGATGGGCTCCAGCCTCTGATACTCAGACTTGTGCTATGCAGCCAGGCATTTGGTATCTCCTGCAAAAGATGCCCTCCTAACCCGCGGCTGGAGGCGTCAGGCTCGCTGCGATTTTCCATCTTCTTTTCCACCAAGTATTTTGCCTGTCTGAAGCACCAGGCTGCTCTCTCGGCAGGCCCAGAGAGCGAAGGTAACCAGGAGCAGGGGAAATTTTGGGGGAGCAAATGCTGAAAAACGTGCCTGGAGGTGCCGGAGCGGCGGCTGCCGCCCCCTTGGGCCCTCAGGGTCTCGTACGCTAGGCAGAGCCCTGAGCCCCCCCCGTTCAACCCTGGTCTCTGCAGGAAGGCGATTTTGTTTGGATTTTCCTCTCCTCCTTTTCTCACCCCTTTTCCGCCTCTTTTCTCTCCCCCGTCTCCGCAGGGCGCTCCGGGAGAAGCAGGCATGTCCATCATCGGGCCCCGCGGTCCACCCGTAAGTGGCTTTTTGCTCTATTTTTTGACCGATGCAGGATGTGGGCAAGTTATAGGGAAGGACTTAGGAGGGGCAGCAAGACACAGGATCAGCTGGAGAGGGAGAAAAACCCTGTATAATGCGGTTCCCATGCTGAGCCAGGCTCGGTTTCATACCCCTATTATATACTATATATAATGAAATTACAGCTCAGGCTTTAGGAGGAGTAGGGAAGCCTTCCCTTGCGAAGAGACCGTATTTCTGCATTTAGCAAGGCATGTTTCCTCCTGGCAGCAGGGCTGCTCCCGTTTTGGGGCAGAATACGCCCTTTGCATGGCAAAGCCGTGCCTGGCTGAGCTCAGCCAAGCTTCTGGCAAGCACGAGGCCAGGAAAAGGGATGACGAGAAGGGCTGGAGCACTTACGCGCCCTAGACCGGACCGCTCTCGAGCCGCAGATCGGCCGCCAAGCCTCCGCTTCTGTGCGAGCCGGGCAGGCTTTT